TTCAGAGAAGTTTGCCCCTTCTCTCAAATGCCAGGTCACCTCGTTGGATGCAGGATGACCTCCAGCGAACACTCTGTGCGTGTCAACAAGCTGTCGAAGAACTGGGTCACGATGAACAACTGTGAAGACATCACCATGTCGGCAGTCATGTGTCTGATGGCTCTCAAAAGCAATACCATTGATTCGCTGAATTGTAAAGGTCTGGCCATCTCTGTGAATGGTAGTCGATGGGGTGACATAACCCTCAACAACGATGAGCTGGTAGTCAATGATGTTGGTGAGGTGCTCAATGATGATCGTACCTTTCCCAGCGTCAGGATGCTGAAGAAGCCACCACTCATGATGTGGTAAGCGGACAGAGCAACTCTGGAGACGGCAAAAGGTCCACTGAGGGAATCCAAATCTGTGCAAAACCGTATGGATCTCCTCAATGCCAACAGTAAGCTTTCTCGTGGTGACAAAGACAACCTGTGGATCAGCACAGCACAGGATAATCGGGATGGAGTCCTCCTCACAACCAACCAAGTCTTCTGCCGATGCAGCTTCAAAGAACTTGATCAAAGCCAGAAAGTCTTCCTTGTTGATCTCCTGCTCATAGATCATAGTCGGAATCTGGATCTCCTCGATCGGTGGCAAGGGGACAAACGGACAAGTCGGAGTGATGATGGGATCACACTCAGGAACGAATTGGCCTTCGAAGGTCAGTGTGGCTACACGAGTTGTTGCCGCACAAACGTCCCAGCTGCCAGAGATCAACAGCAGGTCAGAGATGGTGTCCGCTGCTGAAGCCACAACAAGACCATGTCGAAGAGAGACTTGTGATAAAGCAAGCGGCTCAATCCGTGCAAAGCTCCCAAGAAGCTGATCAACTGACCATGCTTCTGAACAGGACCCATGAGTGCAGTGGGTTCCATGCTCAGGCTTCAAGGCAAACTTCATTGGGTATAGGCAAATCGGCGCAGGTTGGAAAAACACACGTTCAAAGAGCAAACGAACATCGACAATCGTGAGGAAATCCCCTTCCTGGGTAGTGATAGAGTTGGTCGAAGTCAAACGTTTGCTCCAAATCCTTCCTACAATGCGTTCAATTTCAACATTAGTCTTGCTGATTGCCTGGAGCCCTACCAGCAACGCGAGTGAAGCTTGTGGCACAGAAACCGCATTACCTAAACCATGAAAGGCCTCAAGCGGATTAGACGGCAACGAAATGCGGTTGATCCCACCCAACAATGCAGCAATTCTGGTCGGTTCAATGAAAGCAACCGAGTCATCTTGGGTCACCAGGGAGGCGAACAATCCCTTGTGGGCGACATGACTGGGGTCAAGCTCATGTTGTTTCCCGTACATGGCACAAACCGTGGGGAGTGGTTCATTCAAGGGAATCATCCTCTGGCGAAGAACTTGCTCTGGTGTGTGATCAGGCGAAATCCTGGCCTTCTTGGCAGGAGGCAAAAGGTTGCAATCACCATAGATAGTCTTCATGTCATCGGAAAGCCGAAGGGCATCACGGGATGCCTGAGGCAAGCGGAAATTGTATTGTGTGCTGTGCCATGGGACCCTTGGTTCATCACAGAGCTGGTACACAGAAGTATTCGTGTCATGCGAGTGATCAGCACGAATCCACACGGAAAGCCAACGATCACGGTGATTGTCGGACATGCGATGAAACTTGAGGTTCTGTTGCCACACCCGTTTATACCCTCCAAGCTTAAGCAAGTGCGAAATCAATCCGAAGTGCTGGTGCTGAAGGATTTCGTCTGCGCACTCGAACAGCTGAAGATTGGGACGAAGGACAAAGACGATGACCAAGGCTTCAACGAAAGCGAAACCTGGATCCGAGTTTAGGCCTTTCGATTTCCCTGCCCTGCTCCAAGAGACACATGGTGGCGAAGCCGTACCGACTGAGTTCGAAGGAAAGTTGACCTGATGGATCAATGAAGTGTCCCCTACCGGAGTGCAGACACCAATATGACCACTCGGATTCCATGGATGACCTGGCAACGTCCTGCCAAGATGATGGGGTTTCCCAACCTGATGGGACCACAAGCTCATCGTAACTGGGTCACTATCAACACACACTTGTTGACCAAGCGGAGGAAAGGATTCATCTTCAAGAACTGCTTCGATGGCTTGGGACCATCCATTGAAGGAGCCTGCGAAGAGGTGAAATGAGTTCAAAGGAGCACCCCGAGCCCATTCAGAGACAGGAACCACACAGGTGGTCTCATCGAAGTGGAACACGTTCTCGCATTCATACTCAATCGATCCATAAAGGGTGACAAGATCGCCCTCACTTAAATTCAACGTTCTCTCTGAGAGACACGGCACCTGAACTTCCCATGGAGCATGCGACCTAGCCACAAAGCCCAACCCAGGTTGAAAGAAATGCGGACAAAGTCTCACGATGTTCCCTTTCGTTGACTGGATATTCCCCTGCAGCAAGCACTTTCCAGAAAACCTGATCGTGAAACCAGGTTTGCAAAAAGCACCAGCCAAGTCCAACAACCTAGACCTCCAGGGGTTCTCAATCTTCTTGGTGATCATGGCCAACAAACGATCATGAATATCATCACCAGACCTCATCGATGCCACGAAGGAACCCAATACCACAAGGACCGAGATGCCTCCAATGGCGTTGGAGGCTTAGTGGACGCCGCCCCCAAATCTAAGAGATCCGGCCAGCGGCCCTGGGTGTCTCGTGCACCCTGAGCTCAACGGCCTCGAGCCTGGAGAGCTAGGTAGTCTATTCTGTTCATTTTCTCTGGTATGTAGCCCAGGTAGCCAGATTGAATTCTGTAAAATTCTGGCCAAACTCGGCCTGGGTTTGGTTCAAGCTCCGCACTCTCTGGAAAAGAGGCATGATGAGATCGATCCAAATGACAACAAAACATCATTGAATTTGTTGTTCCATGGTCATGCTCATTTGGTCGGCCAAATCAAGAATGCGCTGATGACTATGAAGACTTTTCACTCTAAAGACTATGAGAAAGGAAGACGGAAGACCTGTGCGAAATGCCACCCTGGTTGTAGTTGGGACCCCCTAGGCGAGCGGGTGCTTCGGGGTGTGCTAAAACCACTGGGGAGACCAGACTCAGGGTTTGCTCAAGTTCATTGCGGGTGAGCGGAGAACTTTTTTGGGCGGCAGTGTACCCAATCCAGTTTGTGGAGGAACAGCGCCCACTTCTGTGTCCTTCACTTCAACGACAATAGTCATACACCTCTGGGTGTGTGTGTGTGTGCGTGCGTGCTTTTTTTTTTACTACCAGGTGCAGCAGGCCCCAAAGACTCTTTTTTTGCATCATTTGATGCACACAAGGGTGAAACCTCACGAGACGGGACGTACAAAACGATACCAAACGGCTCGGTGTACTCATGAGGTGGGGAAACCCCCAAATCTGTAAGATTCTCAGACCCCAAACAGCACCCCTGAAGTTTCCAAATGCAAAGGGTATGCGGTATGCTGCATGCTCATTAAATCTTGGTTAACATATACATGTGCAGCGGCATTTATTTGGTACAAAACTTAAATACACTATCTATTATGTGGGGGCCCTATCTCGTTTAGACTACTTACAGTAAGTAGGAGGTCATGTCACAGTATCTCGTTCAGACTACTTTAGTAGCAGATCACACTATCTCGGACAGACTACTTTAGTGTCATCAAGCAAAAGTATCTCGTTTATGTGGGGGGGCATATCTCGTTCACAAGCGAATACTGGTGATAGACAATCAATTAGAGCATGCCGTAGACTACTTTAGTAGAGCATAAATAAATGTGGTTTCTCACATGGCCATGGCAAATAGACGAGCCTGGCTTCCAAAAGACTATCCGGACCATGACAGTACGAACAGCCTGGACCTCTGAATTCCCTGGATCAATATGCTTGGGGTTGGAATTAGTATGAATTAGTCATCTATTCCCCAAAGAAAGTGGTCATAAGCTTGGCAGTCCTTAGGTCTACTCTTTAGGCTTTGTGTTTTGCAAGGGATTTACCACCAAACCCCTGAAGGTTATACCCTTAGCAGGGTATCCGCTAGGATCAGCAAGTCCTCATAATCTCTTGGCACTTCTTGTCGTCCTCCTCGTGTGGAGCTAAGAAACCATGGCATGGCTGTTTTCGTTGACTCATGGAGGTCCTTGCCTCAGCGCCGACTGTTTGACGGATTTTCGTATTCTGCGTTCGTCGTTGGGGTGGGGCGATGGAGGTGCTTCCTTCGTCTCCACCAAGGGCATCGAGTCTCCCTCGCCTGGCAGTGTGGCCTATAGTTTCGAGACCCACCCACGCACCCACGCACAAAAACACAAACACGTACTATGATTTTTTTCCATGAAATCAGCCTGACTCCAACTACCTCCGGTTCGGGTGTTTGGTTTAGAGGGTCTAGTTACCTTCTGGTTGGTTGGGGCCATCGGGTTTCATACTCTGGGCTGTCAAGATGACAAATCCACGGCAGAAGAAAACCCCTCCAAGATGGAAGTCAGCTGGTAGCTTTGTCCCGGCAGTTGCACGCCCCCCACACAATGACCCACATAATGCCTATAAGAGTGGACGAGATTGAAAGGTGAAGGATGATGATCCGAATGATGATCAGGGACCATTGGACCGTTGGCATCGCCCAGCGGCTTTTGATCGCTGAAGCGTCGCAGGCAGACCTGGCACTGTGGAGGCTGGGTTGCGTGGTAAAGGCTGGCTTTGGAGTCCCATGGCAAATTCACATCTGAAAAGTAAGTTGGTTTGATCTCGGGCCGTGTTTTTCTTTCCTGGAAAGTACAGGACTTTCAACAAAGCTATCAAACAAAGATCATCAAACATCAGCTTTGGCTTATGTTGGTTCATGTTGGTTCTACGACACAGGGTTCGGCTCCTTGTGATCTTTATACAACATCAAATATTTGATTGATCTTCAGTCGGTCCCCATGCACTTGCTGAGTGACCCCATGTGACACCCCATCCTCCGATCTATCCCATTTGGAGTGTGGCTCATGTGGCCGTGGTGGGTCATGTAGCCATGCCCCTCATCCACCTGGACTGGGAGTCACACAGTTGACGTAGAACACCCCTTTTGGGGCTACTCGTGGATCACCTCGCCGAAATCGGTATTACAGTACGTGCCCAACATGGGGTCGAAGTTGAATACATGACAGGCTGTCGATGTGTGTGGAGGGGATTTGGGTTTAATGGATCTTATACAGTCAGGGGATCTGCAGGATCCTGGGTTACCAGTTTTTCCGCAGTTGCAACTTTCGAAATCAAGGCTTGTGGGAGAAGTTACCTGCAACCTACACATAATCTTTGGGGAAGAAGCCAATGCGATGATGCAAAGGAAACACAGCAAGCCTTTGCTCTTGGCGGATTCATATACAAACACCCCCCTAAGAATTAGGTGCATGAATACACAATCCCAGCAACAAGTCCATATAATGCCCTTCTCCCCGACCAGACATGAGTCCTGCTGGACATCACCGCCCCCGTTGCCACCCTCAAGGCCATCTGCACATCGCTCAGCGTGAGGAGGTCGGTGCCCTGACGATTGGTCGGATCGGTGGAGGGCGAGGGACCTATATAACAATGCCTACCACGATCCTACCACGTGGGGTAACCATGAGTTTGGTGCAACTTCTGGGTCCCCCCTAATTTCAATCTTAATTCATTGATGATCTGATTATGATGAAGCCTTCCAAGACATATGAAACTTGCATCATTTCCCTTCTGCTTGCGATCAGCCGCCCCCGGCCTCGCTGGCGCCCACCTTCGGCTTGACCACCTGTCTCGCCTGGACCGCGGTAGATGGACCCGTCCACATGTCAGCCCAAAGAAAACAACTGTTGCCTGGGTTTCACAAGCATAGTCGAAAGGCATCTGAGATCATCTGAGGGGTCAGCCCAATTGGGACAAATAAGAGAAACTCTTCAGCCAAAAGAAACTTGTCACGCTCTGTAGAGGTCCAGCAACCCCCGCAGGCCCTACATCAATCCTGCACAGCATGACCCACTGAATGATATTTTCAGGGACCAAAGCTCATCCTCATGGACTGACACCCACAGTGACACTAATTACCAAAGTACCATCGAAGTTTTTTGAGGTGATTAGTCTCCAAGCTGTCCCTCCAACAGCTCATCCCACATTCATTGAGGCTTCCGGACGCCAACGACGCCTTTGGCTCCTGCGACCAAAGGGCACCCGCCGGTGGTCCGAGCGAATCAGGCGCATGGACTCCCGGAGAGGTCAACAGCATACGACTCCCAGACAAGTCGTTTGATGTCACCCAAGAGTTTCTCTGACGTCATAGCACAGCTAAACTGAACTCCAAATGCTTTGTGGTAATTCTATCCTCTAAAAAGTGCTCCAATGGTCCCTGTATCCCAACCAGCAGACGAAGCAACCTAAAGTAGCCCGTTGAAATGGAAACGCACATGCACACAACTCCTTATGAATTACCCTTGTGGAGATCATCTGTCAACTTGTATTATATTACATAGTAATACAATCATCAAGGGCACCATGGCACCGACGGCATCCGGGGTCCTTCAGCAATGGCGGCTAATGCCATGGACATCTTCCTGACAGCGTTTGCTTTCGAACTTGTCTAATGAGCCTCGTCAAACAGTATGGCATGTCCCACTGGGGGCCAAAGCAATGCAAAAAAAACATCAAAAACAACCTGCAAACCAAAGATCCTTTACATTCACTTACTATCCATGCTGAGACACACCCACATGATGGAATATGAAGCGATGTCTGAATTTGTGTGATGTGGTCTGGTTTTCACTTGCTTTCGTGTTTGATCCGCCTTCTCCCAACTCGCGTACTTGAGCAGAGTTGCAACGTCCGCTTCCGGAAGACAATTAATTTGAGAAAAAGGAACTTGTGCCACATGATGATTTAGTATGCTTAAAAAAAACAAAAGCATGTTCAGCCAACGGCAAAGACCCAAAGTCCGGTCCGTCCATCAGTCTTCCACCCGACCTCAACTCGCTTCCACGACCTCAACTCGCCTCGCCTAGCACAAGCCTCCGGAGTCTTCTCCACGGCCATGAGGGAGAACAACTGATGCACCACATCCAGAAACCTTGGCGTTGTCAATGCATGTCTGGCGCTCACCGAACAGCCATCGAATCCATGTCAGGTGTTTCTTTAACGCTTGGATCAATGCGTTCTCTGGGATTGTCCTGAGCCTGGAATTCCAACAAAAGAGACCTCTTCGATCTGCGGTATTCACTGACGATCCTTTAAAGGAGCTCCATTTGGAGATAGCACTTAAGTTAAACCCTGGCTACAGTATATGCACAGTATATGCGCAGCATCTGGCCGTAATCTCCATCAGATCCTGATGGTATATCTACTTTGGAAGCCTTCTGGTGGTCAATGTGTGGGGCCTGTGGTCAATTGGCTTCAGACTTGTGGAGGGTCCGGATGGTAATCAGTAATAGAAGAATTCTTGAGTTGAAAGCAGCATAATGCAGTTCCACAAAAAAGTACGCGCTGGTACTGAACTTCTTCAATTCTGTTTGCACCTGTCATTAGCCTTCAGAAAACGAGTTGTTAATGGTTGTCAATAATCTGTGATATTGCCAGGTCCATGCAGGATTGTTCACTGGATTCCAGGTGCCAGGTGCATCCTGGCAGCGTTCTGCCGTGTCGCTCTCATGCGGACGTCCTCCCCGACGACGGCACGCCCCGACACGTCACGAGACGTTGGGATTCGACGCCCAGCGACGTGAAGATGCAGCCCACGTTGAAGAACAAATCGAAGGAGACGCCCCGCATCTTGGCGGCCTGAAAACAAGGACGCAAAGGTCACGGAGCAGAGCATTTCGGGATATTTCGGGCATCGCTACGAACGGAGAGACCAGACACTACGAACGGGGCTCCTGGCCGTACTACTACTAACCGCTCAGTTCTGAAAAGCAGTGAGGTCGCGAGGATTGGGAAGACGCTGGAAACTCTGGAGGTCTTCATCTGAGAGATTGGGAAGAAGGCTGGAACTTTTTCAGGAAGATGAGGTGATTGGGGAGATCATCGGAGTAGGTGAAAAGGGGGGCTCCTGGCGAGAATGATGTTGTGATGCAGGGAGGGGAGGCATCCAGGCCTGTGGAGCTTTGTTGAAAGGATCACCAGCCTGGACTCGGACAAATCCAATACATGAAGACAAAGTTGTAGGCCGTTTACCTCTGGAGAACAAATGGAGACCAGACCTTCAATCTGAACCCAATCTCGGCAAGCACGCATGGATACCATTTGGATTTATCGCCGGTTGTGACCCTCGATCATCCACGCAACAAAACGGAAACTCGGACTCTAACTTCTACGTCTTATTCGATAGGAGCTTGGCGCTTGGGAAGAAACACGTCTTGCATCAAAAACTGCATGTTGAGTTGAACTACCACCACGAGGGATCCGCGAGAGAACTTGATTGCTCTTTGTGTCATGAAATTGAGGGTGCCCACCAGGTTCGGCCCAACAGGTGCTTCATCCATCCACGCCACGAGGTGAGAGTCCCTCGGTGGGCGACACTATCTCACCTGGATTCCCAGAGTTCCATGTTCTCACCTTTTGCATTGAAAAGTTCCGGAATTCCTGATCCAGGGCAGTCATCCACCCGTCAGCCTTAAGTCAGAAGTGTTCCGCTCGTGCCTGGAACAGCGTCTGGTGGCTCATCCGCTCCAGCTGAGGGGCCATCGCCACCTAAGGCGAACGACGAACAACTCCGATCTGGCATCGACTGAACGCGCAGGAGGAACTCGTGCCAACGGTCTTTCGGCAGTCTTGCCCACGTGCTTTCATTAAAAAACCAAGGTGCCGGCAGACCTTTTGGGGCCGAGGCCAAAACCACCAAAACGTGAAGAGTTTACAGACATCAAATCTGCTTTTGCCTTTCAACCCCCTTCCTCAAGTAAGCTAGGCACATGGGTAATCATTGCCCAACGCTGCAACCGACTGAAGCGCTCCTCCTGATCGTTCGGCCAATTCCGACAGAACAGTGCCAGGTGTTGGAAGAGACTCTGTGTAAAGGCAGGTGTGTGTGTGTGTGTGCAGTGTTTGTTTTATCCCCATGTATACAGCTTCAATATATGTATAGAAACAACATCCACGATTTTCCACATCAGTCAACTATGAGGTATACGTATTGATGATATATGAGCATTTCTGAAAACCTTGATGAAATCCCATGTCGTATCATTGGGCTTACGCTTGTGCTTACGCTGCCTTACGCGACTCACATGTTTGCTTACGCGGTACACTTGGAGCAAGAAGGGCTTACGCAGACCTTACGCGACGCGTGTTTTGCACAAAATGCAGCTGACACCACAACGCGAGCTTACGCGCTGCATACTTTGTACAATGGACATTTACTACACCTAATCTTCGGATATGGATGCTGAAGAAGCACTTGAGGATGAGGACGAAGAAGAAGGCTCGAAGGCAGAAGCGACCAAGCAGCAGCAGCAGCAGCACCAGCAGCAGTAGCAGCAGCAGACTAGCAGCAGACCTGCAGCAGACCTGCAGCAGCAGCAGCAGCAGCAGCAGCAGCAGACTAGCAGCAGCAGCAGGAAGTGGAGAAGTGGAAGTGGAAGGGCGATGCGCGCAAACCACATTGTATAATATAGAGGTCTTCAACCACACGCTGCCGCTGACGCAACGGTTTCCGAGAAGGAGGCATGTGGGCTACTGGTGGAAAAGGACACCGGAACTTACGCGGAGCTTACGCGGACCTTACGCGCGGCTTACGCGCCGGAACTCACAAAAATCACCTGGAGTTTCTCATGTCTGACATGGAGGTTTGACTGTTCAGCTGTGGTGTTTGGACTGTGTGTGTTCAGCAATTCGAGTTTGGATTGTGTATGTATGTGTGGAGTTGGACTGTTCCTTAGTCCTAGCACTTCTGAGAGGGGTTGCTCATGTATTTATCATTTATTTCTTCAAAGCTTACGCATGGCTTACGCAAAAGGTTTCCTTACAAAAAGCTTACGCAACCTTACGCGCGTGCAGGTTTTGCTTACGCACAACTTCGATATGACAACACACTGATTAAACATGAACACGGAGGTTTATCGAATAGCTCATATGTTTGCACAGGCACACAACGCATTTTCTGCACATTGTATTTGGACCCTACCTCATCATCGGCTTAATATCATCAACGTGCACATGTCAAATGTATGCCTTTTGCCATCAAACACTCAAATACCTGGTTGTCAGAAACATAAGGAACCTGAATATTGAATAGGATCACTGACTCTGAATATTGAATAGGATCGAGTCAGTGATTCTCTTTGGATTCCTAATTAAGCAAAGGGATCACCCAAGTCATGTATTCTGCTTCGGAAGCATTCGAAAAGTTACAGTATGTTTTTGTTGGGAGCCTTTATCCACGCAATCATAGTGACCATGGTAACTGCAAATCATAGATCCTATTGTACTACATGATGTAATTGTATTACTAAATTATAGTCTAGAGCTCCACAAGTAAGTTCATGGCACCATAAAAGCTACTGTAGTGACCCTCTCAAAAACAGAAACTCACAAACACACCCAGTCTTAAGAGCATGTTCCACACCCACCCACCAACCCTGCTGTTCTCCTCTTTCCCTCTACTCGGTTTGTCTACTTGGTTTCCTCCTTCCACTGGTTGCTTCGGGATGGCCGAGGGCATTCGCCCCGCGCGTGGGCCAAACACGGATGTTTCACATCGTCTCCACCGTCTCAACCGAAAGACGTCTCCTCGGTGAGGTCATGGAGACAGTCCAACTCCCGGGTTTGAGCTGCCTGGGACGTGCCAAGGTTCCGGGGGCGACGTGTTTGGCCAGTCAGGGGCGCCGCCCTTAAGACAAACGTCGTCGGGGTGTCTCTTTTGATACGTCCCGGAACACGAGGAAGACGAGGACGTCCCGATTTCGATCACCTCAGCATTCATTGGAATGTTGATGGCCAATGTCGCTGACTTTCTTTCAGTGCAAGGAAACGCAAGGGCATCATTTTGGTGCCTGCCAACTTTGCTCCACACAAATTATATGTCTCAATCTATACCTGGAAGTTTCGAGACACTTTTGTCTATAGTACCACCGTTCGCCCCTGTGTTCCAGGCAAATGAAGGACGCCGCGTGAATCAACCCGAAGGCCCGGTCTATCCCACTTTGGATCTATCCGGATTTGCCTATTACCTCTAGCCTGTAACAGTCGATGATAATTGTTTACTGACTGTTGCAGGTAGGACAAACCCCAAATGACCCAAATATATCCAAATATCACTATCACAATATGTTTATCTTTGAGTTCGGAGATTGGTTGTGCAATGGTGCAATAACATGCGAGGAGTTAAAATCCCTCTCTCGTCTTGATTCCTGCAGAAAATGTGACGTCAAACCTGCAGTTTTTGAAATCGAACTCTGGATCCATGATCCATTCTGTTTGTGGGTGCTCATACTGTTCCTCGCGCTGAAGATGTCTTTAACTTCATCCATTTGCCAAGTTGATGGTGGCGCTCCAGATTTTGTCATGGAAATCTAGGAGACTGTTCAAGCTCTCCAGCTTTATTTGGTGCAAGAGTTCATACCACCACATGAGAAGCTCTACTGTGAGCAAACGGAGCAAAGAGCTGGCACAGTCGAACACACGAACAGTCATCATTCCGAACGAACGAACTTCTAGTGAACATACCGCGAGCTTTCGTTGGGTCATCCAATGACGATCCAACGTCCAGTGGTCCAGTCAGTCCAGTGGTGAACCCTACCATGAGCTCTCATTCCCCTTGCTTCCACTGCCAAACCGCGGCCTCGTTGTTGAGATGCATCAAGCCCTGCGAGGGCTCTGCCTTCACCTGCTCGATCCGGGCTGCTTCGTCGGGTGGGGCGTCCCAACGCGTCCTAGGCGAAGAGGATGGCGTAGGTGTACTGATGGCGTCTTCGCTTCTTCCCCGAGCTAGTCTAAAGGTGTGGATTCGGCTCGGGCCTTTACTACTACATGTAAACACATGCTGATGTTCGGACTGGGGTGGATTTGTGGATCACACACACACAGGATGCAAACGTATGCAAACACACAAAGGTGACGTAGCCACTAAGGAGAAAAAATGATAGAACCTAATTACTGAAACAAAAGGCTACGTCAAATAAACAATACCAGCACCACTCAAAGGGACCCCCCAAGAACAAAACATATATGTGTTTTCCGTCCAAGAACCACCATGCTCGGTGGCGGTGGTGCTGGTTTGTATACGTATCTGCATACTGCATACAACGAGTACAATCGTCACCCGGGAGTTGCCCAGTCACACCAGGCCTGGATCTGCTACTATTGGCTTTGCTGCGGGTGGAATCCACAAAACTCAACTCCAAACTGCACCCACAACAAAGTTTGACAACATTGACATGTAACATGTATATTCTCTGATATCTTAAATGATACCCATGTCTACCAGGACTTTATCTGAACTTATTACTTATTGTCGTCTTGCATAAACCCATGTTGGGCTCCAAAACAAATGTTCCACTCCACGTAAGCATACGTAAGCGTAGCAATGGCTGGGTCATGTTTAGAGCCCCAAACATCCCGAATAATCTACCAGCACCCAACTCAATGGAAGCTCACCACGATGGAGGTTTTGTGGACTTACAAGTTACCTGTGGTGACCTGTCGGCATATCATGGTACAGTAGGTGTGTTTATGACCGTGAATTCAGGTAATTAAGGAAGAGTCCAATTGTCTGATTGTCTCAACAAGGTACCCACAAAATGAGTGATATGTAAGTATCAAACTTGAGGGGGCAAAAAACAAAACAAAAACAAAACACATCCTCCATGCACCCACTGACTCTTGACCCACCAACAAAGAATATGTTCCCACCTTTGCCGCCACCGGCACCGGTGAGTTCCACCCGTCACCTGTGCGATGAACTTCAAGGGGAAGAGCATCGCCGCCTGCGACCGTTCGACGCCCGGTCGCCCGGTCCTCCGAGGCTGCCGGGAGGCTGCGTGGCCAGAAGCTACGAACGTAGCTAAGGGCATAACTATTAGTAGCTAAGTAACAAGAAGCGACAAACGTAGCGATGTCCTTGCTATGAACGTAGCGATGCCCTTGTTACTAGTGCCACCGGGAGGTGAGGATTATTACATCCAATGGGCTGGTCAGTTGCTTCATGGATGTTGATATAATGTTGATGTGTTCGTTTTGATATGCTGATCTTTTTTAGATAGTTTGATTTGATGGCTTTCTGTTCTCCCATACTCTTTGTTGGTTGAATTCTCAGCGGGCTTCGGTGATAAGAACATTTTGGAGTGATGATCCAGATTACGCACAGCACTAAAGGCACCTTTCTGGAATTCCTCAGCTCCTTTTCATTGAAGGCTGGTGTTGGTTTACCTCGTAAAACACAGGTAAACATCTATATAACTCAAACACTTTGGCCCCATGCTATGACTTTCTGGTGCAAAAATTGGTGGACTAAGGGGCTGTGTTTCCAAACCAAATGCCAAACTTCCGTCAATGTTCATCACCAAACTCCTCCGAAGAAATCTCCAAACTCCTGAAGTCGACACTTCCGCGGAAAACGCTCCGCTCCCTCGCCCCGAGTCCAACACCCATCACGCAAACGAACGTCCCACGAAACGACCATTTCATCCAAAACCACCAGCCGGAAACCAGCTCCCCAAAACCAAATCAAATCCAGGGGATCCGGTGCATATGGATGCGTTCTCCCCAACCACAGTGCGTTCAGCTGCGACCCACGGGCAAAACGGTCCACCTCCCCGCCTCATCTGTGAGGCGGACATCTAAATCCACCACCCAGCCTAGGTGGGACCATCGGTGAGGCGGGTGACGTCCCCCCTTCAAACAACTGCTTCAATCTCTGCGAGGACGGACCATTCCCAAGCTAGGACGAGCTTCTCTCTTCACGAATAGGACGAGGAAGGTGACTTTCAGTTCATTACATGAAACCCTGATGGCCAATTACCGGTTCTCTTGCGTTACCGTACAATATCCACGTTCTGGTTGGGGGAGGTTAACCCCATTCCCTGAGGAGTCCTGCGGAGCGCGCCAGTTCCGGTGACGAGCTGAACGAGCTGATCATAGTGAGTATCACGACAGCAGTGCTTTCGTCGCAGCTGCGCTGTCCAAAAACATCACGAAACGATTCACTACGGCTAATCTACAATCACTTCAGCTGGCTTTGTCAGCCACACCTGTGCGAGATGCTTCGACAGGGAGAGTAAGCGGTTTGCGTGACCACTGTGACCAATATGCCCGGGTCAATGTGCAAAGATTTCAACACCAAATCAGTTGCCCTTTCTCAATCGATCGCTTTGAGGGCTATTGCAGCAATCTCGAGTTCGAGCAGTCTCAGACATGAGCTGGTGAAAGGGGTTTCCTCCACCATCCTCTTCTCCTCTTTCATTCCAGATGGATCTTCTAAAGCAACATGCGCTTGACAACGGCATGAGACCCACGATTGTCACAACTCACTGATGGCGTGTTCTGCCCAAGAAGCCGCTCACTCCAATATGTGCAACATTTAACATGTTCCACCATCTCCAATGAAGCATAGTGCTGCAAATTATGCCAAGAAAACACCAGTGCAGGTCACTTCAAACTGGTTAATCAATTGATTGTGAGAACATGTGTGAGAACTATTTCTGGTCTTAGGTGTGGAGGAACAACAACAATCATTCTTTTGGAGCAATCCATTTTGGCCCCACGCGTCCACACAGAATCCAGCCCCGCCAGAATCCGCCATGTTATGGGCACCCCCACAGGCGAAAGGGCTAGCACTCGAAGCGCCCACCTGTTGGCACTGCAGGTTCCTCGTGAATCCCACAGAGGATGTTTCCCTACCTCTGTTTGTTTCAGCCGACTGTTTTTTTTGTTAAGAAGCATTGAGAACTTCCCATAATATTCAAACATGTCAGTTTGTGAAGTTGTCTTTTTCCCACTATTGTATATAATATAGTAATTAGTTAATATGTACAGTGCAAGTCCATGGAACTGGCATGGAACGGCCATGTGGATTTTGGCATTGTCGTGGTTCAGAGAAAAAAACATGATGCTCCCAGTGTCCCCTACATCGCTGCCACCCTCAGGACTCATGTGGTAAGGCAAGGATAATGGTTGTTGAATATGTATATATATATATACTGTTTCTACCCGCATCCACTTCCGCATCCCCGTCAACTGGTATAAAGTCATGCATGTTGCTATCAAAATGATCCTCTTCTGCCTGCCTGTGGCTGCACACCAAGCATGAGACTCACCTCAGTTTGTTCATCGAGTCGGGCATTTTCACGCAATAGTAGTCCCAGTAGTCTAAGACTTTTTCAGCTATGCCAGGTACTACTGTATTGGCCCAAAGTTCCTCACTGGATAGATAGATAGATGGATTGATTGATAGATTATAGATAGATAGATACGTGCCTTATACACCGGACTGCGAAGAGCCTATAGACCTTGTAGAGAACGTTGAAGTGCCAAATAGATGCTCTTGAATTGTGCATAGTAGGAGTATAGTGTCTGGGTATCCAATGGAGGTCCAAAAGTAGTGGAGCAGTCTTAGATACTCTTAGTCTAATGGCGACCCCGAACGGATGATCCAGGTAATTATTGGTCAGCTCGATCCTTTGACACTCTTAAAACAATGTGTCTGTCTGGTCGGATCATGGACATTGATGTGTTTTCTTTGTTTTTTTCCGTGTAGCATATTTCATGATCCCGGCTCAGGAGGCAGGTTTCTGAAGGTGAACAGGCCTAGCCACTAATCCCAGAGATCCAATGCCCGACTGAAGCAAAAGGAGCCCCGCCCTGGGGGGAGGAATTGGTTCAGCCAGGCAACTTCACGAGGAAAGTACCCAGCAAGGCCAGTACGATCAAGAACATATCATATGTTGTAGTTATACGCTATATGTCCAATAAAGAAGACATCGAGAGCAGGCTGTGCTCCCGCGCTGGGTCGACTGGCTTGGGATCAAGGTGATACTCCTGAAAGCAAACAAGTGATGCAAGGACTCATGTGCAACACCCGTGTGAAAGCCGTGACGGTTCAAGAGAACTTTCCTAATCACGTTGGAGGTCAATAAAAAGACTGCTCATCGTCAGCCTGCTCGCAAGATCGGGGGTTGTCACAGTACCCTCGTCTCCATATACTTCCTTGTCAGTAACCGTGGTCTGTGATTGACCATAGCCGTGGTCTGTGATTGACCACTGGCCCAAGGAACCCTCAGCTTTGTCGCTGAACACATTGGTTGGTCTTAATATGTCTTAAATTGTCTTAATAGTTACTCCACGTGGTGGAACTACCTAGGCCCGCCAATGATGGGGTTTATTCACCAAGACCATGGGACTTATGACTTATGTGAGCAAGAAACAACTCACAAATCTGTCTGGCGATGTGGCGATGTACCACTGCAAATCCGAGGGCGAGGCTGGCCTAATCCGAGTGGCCACGGACGCGGGTCGCACGGAAATCCCACGAGGTCCGCACGAGGGCGTCGAGACCGGCGGATCCTGCTCGCAAAGCGCGGCTTCGTAGTCCGCTTGTCGACTCTCTGGAAGCTCACGAGGAGCTGGCCTTGGACGAAAGGATCTGGGCCAAAGGCAGCAAAGGCAGAAGGAATGGACGGATGGAGCGAACACCATGTTCTTTGTTTGATCCTGAAGCCTTAGGTCTGATAGACATGTTATGCATTGGAACCAGCTGCCCTTGATCAAACAGCTTCACCACAAAAGCGGCGACTGTGACGTTTGGGGTGCGACGCCTTCGGCTGTGGAGACCTTCGGCACTCCGCCAGCCGTGAGGTCCAATCCTGGGAAAAATGGCTTAACATCCTTGATCTCCTGAGTCTCCGGTGGTGCTTAAAGGTCTTGCTCTTCGTGTTTTGCCTATGGCATCTGACCGATGGCACAGCACCAGGGGGGGTCGTCCGGTCTCCGGTGAGGTCGTCCCACTGACCGTGTCACGGCACCGAGTGACCACACGGCACCGAAGCAGTGAAGGGGTACAACTGGAAAGCTCCTGTTCACCTTCCTAAGCCGTACATGCACCTGAGCAAAGCAAATGGTACAAGTTGGTTGGGTTTGTTTTTTTTGCGGTTCAAGTGTGAGACATCCTAGGGACGTCGGTTCCAAGAGTTCCAAGTAGTATACTACCTACGGTACCTCTCTAGAATGAATGTCACTCCCTTCCAAGTACATGTCTGCGACAAACACACGAACTCCCACAGGATCTCCCCAAAGACTTGGGGGTTCCACTCTGGCGCGACGGCCAGCGGCCCCCAGCCACTGCAACGGACTGAGGAAAGACCTTCCTGGGGTCTGGGGGCTCCTTCTTTCCGACCGAAGATCCCGGCTTTCTCCGAACATTGGAAGATCGACCAGTGCGTTTGGGTCATCCAACTTTGCTTCGGAAGGTGTCCCTGTTCTCAGACATTCCGGTATAGTCTTCCAATCCGTTCAGTTCCGGTGGTGCAAATCCCGGTCATGAGAGTAGCAAGTAAGAAAGGCTTCTAGGCTGGAGGCCATCGCTATTAGGTTGGAGGCCATTAAAACTAGCAACTACTAGTAACAAGAAGCTACTAGGGGCTCCTGGCTTTACTACTAGGAGCAAGGACACTATTAGGGGCTCCTGGCATTACTACTAGTAGCATTCTTGCTACTAGTAACAAGAAGCTACTGGTAGCAAGGTGCTGTCACTCCCTCCACATCGGCCACACCACTGTGAGGCACGCTGTGTGATTTGGCCCCAGGCAGCTCTCCAGCGGCGATGCTCATGTCGGGGGAGGGCGACCTGACGTGAAGAAACGAGTTTCTTTGACAAAGGGACCAGCTGGATGGCTGGAAAGCCACCTATCCCTTCAAAAAGAAATATAACGGAAGAAAAAAACAATGATGATGATGATGATGATGATGATGATGATGATGATGATGATGAT